GTCTCCTCGGCTGCGTGGAAGGTGGCTTTGGCGCCTAAAAGCATCTACCTTGTGCCTTTGCCCCCCAGGGACCCCTTCAGTGTCTGCTGATTTGGGAGTGGGGCATGGACAGGTGGGAGTCCTGACCCCTCCATGAGACTTGAGCGTGTCACTCACTTTCCTTGGAAAATCTGGTGAATGGGGACATGAGCGCACCCAGCCCCCTCCCGGGTGGGATGCAGCTCAAGGACGGGGCGGGTGCTGTATAGTCTTGACCCCATACGTACCACACAGGCAGGAATTCTTCCCCAGCCCCATGGTGAGATCCATCTTCGAGGGTCTCAGATGTTGGTGCTGGAAAATGGGTTGATGCTCTTTAAAAATATCATATCACCCGTTTCCAGGTCTGAGACCCTATTTCCTTCCACCCTTCTGCATTCAGGAAAGCTGTCCTTGGTTCATTTACGTAACACTCCCTGCTGACCCTCCTAGCCTTGTGTAGGATCAGGGCCCTGAAGGAGCCCATGGAGGGACTTCTCTGTGGTGCGGGGAAGGTTTCCTGGTCCATCCCTTCACGGACCTTTTCTATGAGAGAGATTTAAAGGTGTACCTAGGGGTGCCTGGGTGGTTCAGCCGGATAAGCGTCCAACTCTTGGTTTCGGCTCAGGTCCTGATCTCAGGGTCGTGAGATCAAGCCTGGAGTCAACCTCGCACTCAGTGCAGAGTCTGCTTGAGATTCTCTCTTCCTCTCCCTCTGCTCCTCCCCACCCCCCGCTTGCACGCATGCATACTCTCTCTAATAAGAGTATGTTTAATACATGTTTAAAAAGAAATAAATAAAGGTGTACGTAGATGGGCAGAAGGGCATGCCTGGAAGAGGGACTGGTGTGTGCAAAGGCTCAGAGTACCCAGCAGGGCAGCCACGGATGGTATCCAAGCAGGAGAGGGGTGAGGTTCTGACCCAGGCATAAGAAAGAGGCTCTGGGGGCTGAGGAGCAAGTCAGGGCTCAGTGTGGGCAGTCACTGTGGGGGCAGCTTGGAGAGAAGTGCCAGGGCTGTGGGGGGAGACCCCGTATCTGGGAGGCAGAGACCTGACTTCAGAAGGCTGTGGTGGTCAGAGCCGCCCACAGGTCAGGGCAAGATGGCGCCGTCCCTGGATGCACAGGGAGGGTGCTTTGGCCAGGCTGCAAAGGGACCCCACACAGCATGGGATGGCGGAGGGCAGGTCCTGGTGTCTGAGGAGTGTGACATCGGGCTGAGGTGTCTGTCTTCTGCTCAAGGGTTCAAAGCTGGAACTCGGGGACCATCTGAGCCCACCATGGGGACAGTCTGGATCCGGCTGGGAATTCAGAGGGGAGCCCAAGCCAGGCCTTGTGGTGGGAAAGACAGGCAGGAATCAGAGCGAGCGGGGGTCACTGCGTGGACGAAAGGGTGGTGGGGGGACGGGAGCCCAGCCTGGGTGAGCAGAGGGTGAGTGTCAGGGGCAGCACTGTGGGGCTTTGAAGGCCAAGTGAGGGGCAGGGGCTCGGCAGGGGGACTTCTGGTAACATCTGTCACAGAGTGAGAAGGCACTGCCCCGGCTGGCTTGTGCTCAAACTCTCCTGACCAGGGGGAGGTCGGGGCAGGGCCACCAGGATCTCATGATGCCCCCCGGGGTGGGCTGGACCCTGGCACTGGCCCCAGCCCAGCCCTTGGTGAGAGGGTCCACGTTTCTGCTGTACGGACGTATGTGTGTATTCTTACCACCTTAATTGAGATGCAATTCACTCACCACACAATCCACCTGTTGGAAGTATATAATTCGGGATGTTCACAGAGTTGTACCACCATCACCTCTGTCTAGTTCCAGAACATTCTATGAGCCCAAAAGGAAACTCGTCCCCATTAGCTAACACTCCCCCCCTTCCCCAGCCCCTGGGCCCCTGAGCCCCCTTCCCGTCCGCGGATGAGCCTGTTCTGGACGTGTCACCCACGTGGACTCACACCCTGTGCGGCCGTCCGTGTCTGGTTCTCTCCCTGAGCGTCGTGGGCTCGGGGTCCGTCCCCGGGGCCGCGCGTGTGGGCGCCTGGCTCCTGTTGGTGGCCGAGGGATGCTCCCGTGCGTGGGGGACCGTGTGTGTATCTGTACATCCGTTAATGGACCCTGGGGTTTTATATGTTAATTGTATAGTCACTTCTGAGGTGGTTGGGGTTTGTCCCTTGTCCTCTGTTGGATGTGGGGAGCCCACGTCCTGTTTTCGATAAACGTAAGATGTGACAGTGGGTTTCTTAAAAAAAAAAAAAAAAAAGGAAATGGCCATAGGAACAGGAGGTCCACAGGGGTGGGGCCAGGAATGTGACAGGGGAGGGGGTCCTTGGGTGGGGACCCTGACTCCCTGGTCCAGTGAACATTTATTGAATCCTGCTGTGTCCTGGGTGCTGGGGACTGGGGACATGGTAGGGACAGAAGGAGACACTGTCCTTGTGGGGGAAATGAGACAAGTGAAATGACTATAGGATGTCGCTTGGTGTTGAGCCTCGGGAGGGGGCTGGGGGCACAGAGGAGGCCTGAGGGAGTTACTGAGGCCCGGGAGAGAGCACACCAGGCTGAGGACACAGCCAGTGCAAAGGTCCTGCGGTGAGAGCATGCCTGGAATGTCGGAGGGGAGTGGGAGCGGCAGGGACCTTAGCGCTCCGGGGCTGGTCTCTGCAGCTGGATTGAGGCCCAGCTTGCCTGAAGCTGCAGAAGGCTGGAGGCACCGTTCCCATTCATGCCCCATTGCCCTTCCCTTGTGAGGGCCCAGGGCAGGGTCCACCCCCCTTCCCAGGTTAATAGGCAACAGGTTTTCTCCTCTGGGTCTGTGGCCTGCTCGGATCTCAGTCTCCAGCAGGGGGGTAATGCCTCTCTGCCTTGAACCTTCTAGAAAGCCCGTGCATGGCTCCTGAGCCGTTCGTCTCAGCAGTGACCGCAGTGGTCACCTGTACTGAGTGCTCAGGGTCTCAGAGGAAGAGAATTCGTCCCCGATGAGGGGAGATCAGGAAGGCTTCCTGGAAGAGGCAGCTGCACTTGACCTGAGCTTGGAGGCGGAGGAGGGACAAGGGAAGGCAAGAGCTAGTAAAGGGTGAGGGGCAAACGGCTGGGAGGCTGAGGCTCACGCAGGATGATTTGGAGGGAGGAAGGTTCTGGGAGCCAGCAGTGACATTGGGACCCCCCCCCATTCCAGCCACCCCAACGGAGGGAGGGCCACGCGGCTCCCTCCCTTACCCCCACCTCTGTGAGGCTCTGCTCCCCTTTCCTGCGCCCGTGGCCAAGGCCACAGGCAGTCGTTTCCTTTGAGTTAGCACAGGAATGTTGTGGCTTGGTGCTCAGTGCCAGCCTGGGCCAGGACCCCTCATGCCGCTGGGGCCGCGGGCGCGAGCTCTGGAGGACAGGCTCCGCCCCACACGCACCCGCCTCCCGCCTCAGACCCGGCTCTGCCTGCCTGCTGGGTGACCTTGGGCGGGTTGTGTAACCTCTCTGGTGCCTTTAAAAAATAAATGCGTCCCAAGGCCGAGGCCTCTGCAGGGCCCGTTTGGGTTTGGGCCTCATTAGCTCATCTCCTGGAGCCAGGATTATCTCATACGCTCTCAGCCCACACCCTCGCCAGCCCTGAGCCGCCCACACTGGGGCTCGAGCCCAGAATTTGCTCCTAGCTCTGTAAAAATAATCGGACAAGGACAGGAGTGTGTGTGCGCGGAGGGCGGGCCTCCCGGAGGAGGGCGTGTCCCATTGCCCGAGAGAGCCGGCAGAGCCTCCGAGACAGGGGTGACTCGCCCTGGGTCACACCGCCAGGGAGGACAACTGCCACACCTCTCTCAACCCGACCCGGGCATTTCAGCCAAAGTTCAGCTTCTCTGCCCAGCGTCTTGTGATCTGGCCTCCGGCTCTCTCACGGAGCCCTGGTGAGCGTCTCAGCTATGCACTGAGAACCTCGCCACCGCCACCTCGGTCGCCTGGCCGGACCTCAGGGAGACCCTGTGCTCTGTGAGCGCCGTGTGCACACTCCGCACACTCGGGAGCCCACCTGGCTGGCCTCAGGCCCCAGCGTCACCATCTAGCAGCTTCAGTTCCTCCATGGATAAAAGTCATCCCACCTGCCTCGAAGGACCGTCAGGAGGGTGCTTAGCAAGTGTCCTGTACACACCCAGCTCCTTCCAAGCCTCAGTTTCCCTTCCTGGAAAACGGGACTGGGACTACCTGGGGAAAGGCAGCGAGCGCTGCACTGAGGTGTTCTTACTTTACTGCTGTTTAATTAGGATTCCATGGTCGTACTTTGTTTTATTTTGTGGATTTATGATGCTGAGCATTATCTTGGCTTGACTTTAGCTACCTGGCACCAGGGGCAGGTCCAGAACCCTCCTGGGTAGAATCCCCTCCCTGGGTTGGCACCCCTGACACCAGAACGGGAAGCATCCCCAGCCGTGGGGGGAGGGTCGACCCCCGTTACCTCTCTGCATCCCACCCTCTCTGGCCGCCCCTGAGGCCCAGGGCGGGAAACCCTTAGCCCCCCCCCCCCCCCCCGCCAGCGCCTGGATGGGGGCGGGAGATGCTCTGAGCCGGCCCAACCCCCCTGCATGCCGGCCTCCGCGTTGCCATGGGGACGGCGCGGTTGCCAGGGCGACCGCCTCCCGCGGGCCCCACGGCGGCGGGGGGGGGGTGGCGCCTGGGGCGGGGCCGCTTTGGCGCCCTCAGGCGTGGGGAGGGGCGCGTGAGGGGGGCACACAGCCTGTGCCCTTCGGGCTGGGACAGGGCCGGGGACGCTGATGGGAGGGATGGCAATTCTCTTCCTGGGCCCCGTGCGCCTCTTCTCACTGTGCCTGACCTGCCCCTGACCTGGTTCAGCCGGCAGGGACACCCCGCCCGAGCGAGGACACTGCCCGCCTTGTTGCCTGCAGCCCGGCAGGCTGGCCACAGAGCTGTCCCTGTGTCCTTATGTCCGGCCTGAATGGCCACCTGCCTGCTGGGCTGGGGATCCAGCATTAGGCAGCTGGTGCCGCCCGGCATGGCCTGTGTGCAGTGGGTCTCCGCGGCTATATGCCCCTCCCCCGGCTCTGCCTCCGCCCTGGTGGGTCTGTGGAGGCCACGTGACAGCCGGGAAAGGGTAGGCCCGTGCTGTGGCCCAGAGCGGGGCGGTTCTGGTCCCCTCTCTGCCACCTCCCAGCTGTGTGACTGTGGACAAGTGACTTGCCCTCTCTGGGCTTCACTTTCCAGTCAGGGGAAGAGCATACCAGGCAGAAGGATCGGTAAGTGCAACGATTCTAAGGAAGGAATGAGCCTGGTGCAGTTGAGGTTCGGCTAGACGGTCCTGGCGGCTGGAACAGAGTAAGCAAGTGGGAGAACAGAGGAGGTGAGGGCAGAGAGGTGGATAGGGTTGGGCTACAGTAGGATTTCTTCTAAGGGGTGATGGGAGCTAGGGAAACTTAAGAGCAGGAGAATGAGTGGTTCTGATTCCTGTTTTGAGAACCTGCCTCTGGTTGTGGGGTGGCGAGTGGATTGTCGGGGCCAGGGAGGTAGCAGGCTACGGTAGAGGCCCGGGATGGGAAACATGAGGTTTGCAAAAAGTAGAGGGCGGGCCTATGTAGGGAACACCGAGGGGGTCACCTTGCCTGGATCACACAGGGCGGTGTAGCAGACTCAAAAATGTAGCTGATCGGGCCCTTCAGGAAGGGCCTCCAAGCTGGATTGCTGGATCAAGCCTTTACTGAATGCCACGTAGCTGAACGCAGCCTCCCTGAGGCAGGAGAGAGGGAAGCCACAGAGGGTGCGGCCGGGGCTGCTGGGTCCCTGGGAGGCGCAAAGAGGGCAGGTACTACCCGCCAGGAAGGGAAGAGCTGGGTGGGGTCACCTGGCTGGGGCGTGAGAGCCAGATGATTTCATGGGTCTCCGCGAGGCCAGGAAACTGCACCTGAGTGGAGTGGGGGGTGGGGCCTTGCAGGTCCCGATGGATCTGCACCGGGAGTGGCCACCTGGGTTGGGGGGGCGGGCTCGGGCTCAGGGGTGGGCCCAGCACACTGTGTGACTTTGGGCTTCTGTTTCCTTTTCTGAATCACAGGGGGAGGGGGCACAGATCAGGAGCTGGGGTGTCTGTTCCTGCTCTTTGTGCAAATGGGGAACCAAGGTCCAGAAGAGGTGGAGGGTCTTTGGAGGCCACAGGGTGGTTCCTGGTCCCGATCCAGGGCTGAGGGCTGGGGGTGGGGTGGGGGGGGGCAGTGCAGCAGAACCAAAGGATGGTCTGTAATTTCAGTCTCTGTGAAGATAAAGGGCTTGGGGTGGATAAGGGGACTTCAGGGGGTCCGGTTCCCACTGCTCAGAGGCCCCCTTGTGCCCACGAGGCCCTGCCCCCAGGAGACTGTCGAGGCCCGCCAGAGTGGCCCTGGGATCATTCAGGATTTGGGCCGAGAACAGGGAGGTCCAGATGGGAGCTCAAGACCCTGCCTCCTCTTCAGGCCTTGCCTTGTCACCAAGGCCCTGGGGGCGAGAGGTTATTATCCGGCCTGTTGCTTGCTTGCAATCGCTCAGGGCTTCATGGGTCCAGACACTTTACTGAGCACCTACTGGGTGCAGCTTCCGGGGATCCCGGGGGAGACCACGGAAGGGAGCGGCCAGGTTCGAAATCTCCTCCCCGACCTGCCATGTGGGTAGAGGGGTTCAGGGGAGCAGAGGGGAGGGGAAGGGCAGGAAGGATTCACCCCCCGGGTCCTGGGCCTCCTGCCTGCCCCCATGGAGTCCCGTCCCTTCAGTTACATCTGGCAACACTGACATTTTTCAACTTCACGCCGGTTTAAGGCGAAAACCACACTGCGTGGCTTTCAGAAAGCATGCAGTGGACAGGAAAGGGAGTCTGGGGCCGAATTTGGGTTTGCCTCTTCTTTGCTGTGTGTGCTTGGGAGACTCAGAGCCCTTTCTGGGCCTTTGGGCTCCCAGGAGAGTCCAGGGGAAGCAGATTCTCAAGAGAGGACGTCCCAGGGTAGCACTGTCGACTTCGCAAGCCCAAGGGCTGGAAGGTGGGGCCGGTGGGTCCCGAGTCCTGCACGTGTCCCTCCCAGGGCTGGACAAGAGGGGTTTGGTGGTCGGAGGGCGAAGAGGGGGCTGTCCCGATCTCTCCGCGTCTTCCTGAAATGCTCGCCTCTGGCCTTTGATTGCTGGTGAACTCCTCTGCCTCCTCCACAGCCCGGCTCAGCGTCTCGCCTCCCCAAACCCTTCCTGCATCTCTGGGCAGAGCCTCCCCCTCCTGTCCTTCAGCCCTGTTCCCAGGGGGGCCGCAGGAGGGTTTGCTGGGAGAATTCATGAGGTCATAAGGCTGGGTAGAGAGAACAGTGCTGCCTCTGAGGGGGGCAGGGAGGGACCCCACTTTATAGAAGGGAAACGGGGAGGCTGCTCATGGCATCCGCGCGGCTGGAAGACACAGGCTGGGGTTCGAACCAGATCTGTGGAGAGCAGGGTGGGGTGGACCCCCACCTTGACCTTGTGTGTCCCCTCCCCCCAGGGTCCTGGTGGCAGAGACCACGTCTCAGCAGGAGCGGCTCCAGGCCATTGCAGTGAGTTCCCTGCCCCTCCAACAGTGTGGACGGGGGTCGGGCTCCCCACACCCAGCCCAGGGCCCTTGGGGCTCAGAGCCAGGGTGTGGCAAGGTGCTTCCCCACAAAATGAAAAAGGAGAGACGCCCGCTGTCCTCCGAATGTGGCTCTTAACACCACTAGGTCACGAAGACCCTCGGTGCAGGGGTGGGGGGATGCAGGCTGGGGTATATATAGTAGAACCTTGCCCTTATGCTGGAGCTGGGGGGGGCGGGGGGGCAGGGGGGCAGGGGGCGGGGGAGTCCAGTGGGCCAAGTGGGTGCCATTCACAGAAAAGCAGGGTGCACGTGGGCAGAGCCTCGGTGGCTTGGTGGGGTCTGCGAGGCCCCCCGCCTCGTCCTCACGGGGTCCTGTGTAACCCTGTCCTCAGGAGAAGCGGAAGCGGCAGGCCGAGGTCGAGACCAAGCGTCGGCAGCTGGAGGACGACCGTCGGCAGCTGCAGCACCTGAAGGTCCTGAGCAGGCGGCCGCGTGGCCCCTCACGGAGCCGGCCTGGGGGTGGGGGGGGCGGCAGTGCCCTGGGGGCGGACCCTGAGCCTGAGCCTGACCTCGAGCCCTGTCACCCCCCCAGTCCAAGGCCTTGCGGGAACGCTGGCTGCTGGAGGGGACGCCGTCCTCGGCTTCGGAGGGTGATGAGGACATGCGGAGACAGATGCAGGAGGATGAGCAGAAGGCGCGGCTCCTGGAGGAGTCCATCTCCAGGTGGGTGGGGCGGGCGGTGCAGGCACCTGCAGAGTCGGGGGGAGCGTGGGGGGCAGGGGCCCACCCTTGGGCTGGGATAGAGTTTGGCCCCTTGCTCCGAGGGCGGGTGGGGGCAGGGAAGAGCCCCATTCACATGCTTCGACGGGGCTGTAGGTGGGGCGTGAGCATCTAAGCTAGGCTTGAGGGGGCAGAGGGCTACCTGGTGGGACCCTTTTCCTCTTCCAAACACCCAGCAGAGCAGGTGTGTGAGGGCAGGTCTGTGAGCCCGGGAGGATGGGAGTGGCCGGCAGAGGCCTCCCTGGGGCCTTCCTGGCGCCAGTCCAGTTGGTGAGTCTTCCCTGGCTTGGTTCTAATGCAGGCCACAGACGCCCAGGCAGCCGGGCCTGCAGGAAGCCCAGGGAGGGGGGCAGGCCCAGGGAAAGTGACCGCCCCCCCCGCCCTCCCTCCCCCCCGGGGCTGGGACAAAAGGCCTGGAGTTTCCGGGCAGGCAGAGGCCCAGGCTCAGCCCAAGGGCAGCAGGGTCAGGGTGGAGGGAAGTGACAGTCAAAATTCCAAATGTCCACTTGGCCAAGGAAGGCCTGAGAGGCCTGGGGCCTGCCCGGGCCCACCGCCCAGCTGGAGGCGAGACACACCCACTGGGAAGACCTGGGGATCCTGTCCTGATGTTTGGTTTGGAAGAAGGTGGGGCAGGTGTTAGCTGGGACCTTCCTTCCTGGGCCTGTTTCCCCACCGTGAACTGTTAGCCCGGGCCAGAGCGGGGGGCTCAGACGGAGGTGGGACTCAGCTGGGGCTGCACGGAGACGGCCAGGATTGCCAGCAGGGCAGGAAGTTGGTGGAGATGATTGGCCACCAGGGGCTGGACAAGGCGAGCTTCTTTTCATCCCGTCCTGCTAGGTGTAACCCTGGGTGAGGGGCACACGCGCAAAATAGGTGCCTCGATGGTGGAGGGGCCCTCCCTCGAGCCCTACCATGTATCTGGCACACATCCAGTGCTTTGGGGGCCTTGGCTTTCTTCCTCCCAGGGCAACCCGCTCCTCAGGTGCCCCTGCCACCTGCATTTGGCCCGCTTGGTGCCCCTGCTTGGACACCTCCTCCAGGAAGCCCTGCAGGCCGACCCTAACTGTGGCCAGTGGAGGCTCACTTCCTTAGGGGCCTCAGACTCACCCCCGAAGCCTCAGGCGGGTGCTCGCCGGGACAGGACTTAAGATCTTTGTTTTGTTCCCACTGGGTTGTGTGCACCATTATCTTCTTGTCCTTGGAAGGTGACATGGTTTTTCCAGTTTCCCCAGAGAGATAAAGCTTCCCGTAAAAATAAATGCATCTGAGCGGAAAACAGGAGAGTTGGTTGGAAACCACCAGAGAAGTAAAGCGTAGCAGTGAGGGTGCCATGGACGGGCCAGCCTGGGCCCCCCGCCCAGCTCTGCTGCTTGCTGGCCCCGTGCGGTCGCTGCTCTGTGCCTCAGTTTCCCCAGTTGCGAGGGGGAAGGATGAGACTACCTCACAGGGTGTGGGGGGACCTGGCGTCAAGGAGCCCGGAGCCGTGCCGGGACTCAGAAGTGCCCAGTAAGGGTGGTGGCTTCCTCTGCCCTCCACAGGCTGCAGAAGGAGATTGAGGTGCTGGAGGACGCGGGCCCGCTCACCGCCGCTGCCGCCGGGGAGAGACCCGCCGCCCCGAGCCCGGCCAAGGACCAGAAGGCAGAGGTGGTGTTGGATTCTCAGCAGGTGAGGGGGTGATGGGGTTCCCGGGGCTCCTGCCCCTCCCCCACCCCAGAGCGAGACCCCCCCCCTTCGGTGTCACTGTGGCTCAGACCTTGGGGCAGGGTCCCCCAGGGCATCGTGAAGACCAGCATCCCAGCTGTGTGTCCAAGCCCTGTTCAGCTGCTGCTCTCGTAGCCCTGGTCCTGCTCTCACTGTCTGCCAAGGCCTGGTTCGGGGCGGACCAGGGCGATGTGGGCTGGGCCCTAGCCTCACTGAGTCATGTCAGCTGAGCAGAGGGACATGTATCAGGCGACCAGAAACACAGGGAGGATGACCAGCCTGGGATGCGTAAGTCCAGGGCACTGCAGAGTTCCCGAAGAGGCGTCTGATGCATGGGAGCACTGGGCCGACTTCCTGGAGGAGTGGACTTTGAAAATTGAATAGGAGTTCTCTGGGCACAGACTGGAGATGAGAGGGGGCTTCCACTGGGGTTGACCGAGCACAGACTGTGTGGTCCCTGTCTTCGCGATGCCCACGTCCTGAAGGAGACAGAGAGAGTACCTCGAGGGACAGCGACATGATGTGGGGGACCTTTGGATTATGGTCGGGGAGCTGAGTGAGGAGCCAGCCAAACAGAAATCCACAGTGCAGGGGACATCACACACAAAGGCCCTGGGGCGGGAATGTGTTCAAGGACCAGTGAGGCTGGCCAGAGTTGGGGGATGGGGGAGGAAGGAGAGGCCTATAGGCAGGGGTCTGCGGACACAGGGCCCTGGGGGTCATCTAGAAGGGTTTTGGCTTTGTCTGGGGAGCACTAGGGAGCCATGGGAGGCTTCTGAGCGGGGCAGGGACATTACCTGGCTGTCACAGGCTAGGGCAGGGGTGGGGGATCCCTTCAGGAGACAACACGTGCGATGGGGCCTCCAGGTGCGAAGCTGAGCCCTCCCCACACTGCTCCGCCCACAGGTGGGGACCTTGGTCAGTGAGAAGGGGGCGCCAGCACCCCTGACCTCTCTCCCTTCTTTCTTGCAGGCCCCGGTGGGCACGCCCAAAGGTAGGCTTCTCGGAGGGAGGGGCGGGGCCTCAGTGCCCTCTTGTGGCCAGAGTGGGGTGGTGGGCCTGGGGAGGGTGCCTACAAACTGAGAGCTCTTGTCGGAGCAACCATGACTGGTTACTGTTACTTCTCACGGAGCCTGTCCCCGGCGCCCCTCATCACTTCCCTTAGTTATGATGACATCCTTGGGGTGGAGTTGTTACAGGTGAGGAATCTGAGGCTCTGGGGGGACGTGTCTGCCTGGGGTCTCAGCCTCTGGGGCCTTCCCATGTCCACACTGGGGTGCCGGTCTTGGCCAGCCCCACCTCTGCTCCATGTCCACCTGCTCTGAGCTCCTGTGCAGCTGGGCAGGCCTCGGTTGTCATGTCTATAAAATGGGGTCTGTGGGGCCAAGAAATCAAGGTCTCAGCAGTCCTGGGAAGGGGGCACTATTTAAAAGCACAAGGGTCCCCCCCCCCCCACACACACACAGATGTGGAAAAGACAGCTATGCAGGGAGCAAAGGAAAGGAGCCAGAAGTTTGAAGTCTGGGATCCATTTTTCCCCTCTCTCAGCAATTATTACGGATAGATAGTACGCATTTGCAGATATCTCACAAACATGTAGGACATTTAAATATATTTAATTATAAATGCAATAGCTTATAAATATATTAAAGTGTTAAGTATATTAAAATTATTTAATGTAAGTTATATTTTTAAAACACGTATCAGACTCGTCTATTTTCACATCTAAAGCATGGAAAGAAAGCCACCAGCCAGGATTGGAGGTGGTGGTCAGATTGTCTTTGGCCTGATTTGTTGTGTATTAATTATTTAGCGGAGTGTCTTACTGTGGAATTAAAAATTAATAATTAAAAAAAATTTCACACAGGCCTCTCAGGGATTTTGTGAAAATGATTTGGGCTGAGAGATGGAAATGGACTGGGGACTGGTGTGTGTTTGGGGCTTCTGGGTATGCACACGTGTGGAGGGGTCCAGGTGCATGCGTGCATCAGGGGAGGGTCCAGGTGTCTGGGGGGATGTCCAGATGTCTGGGGGTATCTGGGAGGTGTCCAGATGTCTGGGGGTCTGTGTGATCTTCTCTCTTCTGACCCCCATCTCTCTTCACCCTTCGCTCACTGAACAGAGAAACGAGTCTCCAACACCCCCATGAGGACAGTCGAAGGCTCCACCATGATGAAGGCAGGTGGGTCAGCCCCCAGCCTCCTCCCCTGTGTCCAGCTGCTGTCCTGGGCCAAGCATTGGTCCTGGGGAGCCTGGAGAGGCGGGGCTAGGTCAGATGCAGACATGCCCTCAGCAGGAGCTGTGGTCATGGGGGTGGCGGCTGGACCGAGGCCCCCTCTGCTTTGGCACCTTGGTCACATGCTGGCCCAGCTTCCCTGGGAAGACGGGCCCCCTCGCATGGCAGCCCTCTAACCCAGCACCCTCATGGCATCCCCCTAACCTTGCTGCTCACTCCCGGGGCCCGGCGGGGGCCGCACACCTGCTCGCACACGCCCGCACACGCCCACGGCAGGTCCTCCCTCCTCCGCTGTCCTCAGGCTGCCTAAGGATAGGGAGTGAGCGCCCTGTTCCTGGAGGTGACCAGGCTGGCACTCAGGCGTTTCTGTGCTTCTCGGAAGCCGAGAGAGACAGGGTTAGTACTAAGCATTCCAGAGTTGGGGTTCAGATCCCTGCCCAGCCACAAGACAAGGGCTCCTCGTCTCCACCGGCTGGAGCATTGCCCAGGCCTGGCATTAACCCGAGAGAAGTGACCGGTAATCACAACGGGCAGAACCTGACTGCTGCTACCGGTATTGGGGTGAGTTGTGGAGGCTCAAGACCGAGGGAGGTGAAGACCGTCTTGGGGGCAGGGTGGCCAGGACACCCGGACAGAGAGGGTGGCAGGGGAGGCCCAGGGTCTCATGCAGGGTCAGGCCATTCTGCCCCAGGAGGCAGGAGACAGAGGGTAGCATCTGCCAGAGAAGGGGGTGTTTTCGGGGCCTCCGTGCCGGCTAGAGCAGCCCCTGCCCTGTCCCTTAGCCAACGACCTTCTGTAGTGCACAACCCACCCAACCGTATGTCTGGAGGTGAGGGTGTTAGGCTGTATAGGGACATGGAATTAACTAACATTCATTCGGTCAGTCATTTGACAGGCGCTTATTGAGCACCTGCTGTATGCAAGGTGAGAGCCACAGCTTGGGGGTGCTAACGTCCTGATAAGGACGATGCCCCATGCAGTTAACTTGTGGAGAAAATAAGGCAGCATGTAGAGCTGGAGGGGGGGCCGTTGAATCAGAGGGCTCATGGGAGGTCAAACTTAGCAGGTGACATTTGAGCAAGGACCCAAAAGAAGTGAGGGAGCAAGGCATAGGGGATAGGTGTTCCAGGTGGAGGGCTCAGCTCGGGCAAAGGCCCTCGCCTGGACGGTGCCTGCCTTGTGGGAGGAGTAACCCGGAGTCCTGTGTTGGTTGGAGCAGAATGAGTGAGGGGGGAGGGGGAGGAGGTGAGCTCAGGGGGATGACAGGAGGACTCTACCCCCAGGCACCTGGGAGCCCTGGAGGGCTGCGGGCAGAGCAGGGACGTGCCCGACTGGGTGCTCACCGGTGCCCTCTGGTGGTAGCGGGGAGAACAGATTGTGGGTGGTGCTGGGAGGGCCGTGGGGGACTGCACTGGTCCGGGAGGGGTGGGGGAGGGGGAAGGTGGCCTGGGCAGGGACCCAGAGGGGGCGAGATGTGGGCGGGTTCCAGGTGTCCCCAAGGCAGAACCCACAGCCTCTGCAGATGGACAGACGTGGGGGGTGAGCGAGAAAGGGAGGAGGGAATTGCCTTGACCAGGGTGGGAAGACCCAGGAAGGGGCAGCTTACAGGAGCAGATTGGGAGCAAGGCTTGGGCGTGGTGATTCAGGGGCTCCTGGGGACCCCAGGGGCAGGCGTGGAGGTGAGGGTGGGATCCTGGAATTCAGGGTGAGGTCCTGGGGGCTGTGGTCAGCGCCCGGGGCGGGGGGTCACTGCTAGGACCCAGCCTCTTCGTGTGATCTTTGTGGTGATGATTTCTATGGAGTGGTGGCGGGACTGAACCATCCTGATGGGTAATGACGCAGTGATTTCAAGAGGGCGTTATGCATTCTTCGTAGTGAAAGAGATGAGGATCAGGTCGCTAGTTGAATGAAGAAAGGCACGAAGCGCAGATACACGGGCATGCCGATCACTGGGTGGCCCGGGACGGGCCGAGACCCTGCTGGGAATGCGTGCCTGCTGACCCAAGTTCACACTCGGCTGTGACCGTGCTCAAGGCATGCCTCCCTCCGACTTACTCTGCGGCTCTGAGGAAACGGGAACAGTTTGAGGCTTTCCAGATGGGGTGGGATCGCAAGCCTGGGCCTCGAATGCCAAGCAAAGGAGCTCAGGCTGAGGCCCGTGGCGCTGGAAAGCTGTGGGGGGATGTGGAGCCGGAGGGTGCTGTGGGAAGGGCGTCCCCACTGCTTGGCTCTGTGCTGCCAGCTCCCCTTCCCTGGCTTGGCTGCAGCCGGCGGGGGGCACGTGGGCAGGTGGCCTCGGGTAACCCGTGCCTCTCGTGCCAGCCATGTACTCGGTCGAGATCACGGTGGAGAAGGACAAGGTGACTGGGGAGACCCGGGTGCTGTCCAGCACCACCGTGCTCCCTCGGGAGCCGCTCCCTCAGGGCATCAAGGTCTACGAAGACGAGACCAAAGGTATGCAGCCCCCCCCCCCCCCCCCCCCCCCCCCCTCCTACAGCCTGAGCTAGAGCCTGACCTCCAGCCTGATTCGGCATGGACGCTGTTCGGGACAGGGTCTCACGCCCACAACCCACTGTTGGCTTAGAGGCAGTTTAGTGCTGGACCTGCAGCTCCATCTTTCGTTCACTCCAGGAACCTGCCCTGAAGCTTGGCTGCGCGCCAGGTCCTGGGCTGGGCTCTGGGACTTGAATCAGAGTGGGATTAGCTCTGTCCTAGGAGAGACTTTCAGCCTGGAGCTCAGGAGTAATTTAAACAAGTATTGTTGTGATAAAGGTGACAAAATCCCCCAGAGATGCAGAGGGGGCCTTGAGAGGTTCTAGCAGGGCAGGGAGGGGGCCAGGGGAGGTTCCTCAAAGGAAGTGAGCAGGAGCTCATTGAATGCACAGCAGTGCACAAGGAAACGTTGTGTTTCACAGAGGCCACAGTATGTGCAAAGGCCCTGCAGTGGGATGGAGTTTGCTGGGCTAGAGGAACTGAAGGGAGCCTGTGGGGCTGAGGTGGAGTGGAGGGAGGGGTAAGGTGAAGCCTTGGAGGGAGGAGTGAGCAGGGGCCATGGTGCTGAGAGCTGGTTTGGTTTTTGGGGTTCCCTCTGGCAGCTGGGAGGGGAACAGGGTATGAGAGACACCCACAAGGAAACCTGACTGGGAGGAGCAGGGCAAGCTTAGTCAAAAGCCCCAACATGTCTGTCTGTCTGTCTTTCTCTCTCTCTATATATATAATTCACACACATAAAATTCACTCTTTTTTGTTTTTAGGTAGAAAAACTTTCATTTAAACTGCATTATCTGTCAGTATTTAGACAGCAATTTTATAAGTAGTTTGGCATTTAAACTTTGGTCTTTTTTTTTTTTAAGATTTTATCTATTTATTCATGAGAGAGAGAGAGAGAGAGGCAGAGGGAGAAGCAGGCTCCCAAGGAGCAGGGAGCCCGATGCAGGACTCGATCCCAGGATCCTGGGATCATGACCTGAGCCGAAGGCAGACGCTCAACCATCTGAGCCACCCAGGCGCCCAAACTTTGGTCATTTTTGGCATGACCTGTAGGGATAGTTTATAAACAAACCCAGGGAGGGAAAGTTCCAGGCAATATTTACTACAATGGCAGAAGAAGGAGACAAACCCACTTAGTAAACAAAATATGTTTTAAGAAGACATTAAAAAGGTACATTCAAAATTAAGGCAAATATTTGCTTTCTTCATGCAGTGGAGCTCATGGAGCTGATCACCCAAGCCAAGTATAAAATTATAGTGCCCGGCTCCAGAATCCGTTAGCAAGTCCGCAAGTGCTGTCTTTACAAGAAAATGATATACAGAGTGGAAGGGTCCAGAACACACAATTCAGCATACAGTTCAGTGGGTTTTGGTTTATTCAACATGTTGTACACCCTCACTAATTCCAGAACGTTTTTCTTCCCCAAATAGAAACACTATCACCCCCTATCCCCACCATGGCATCCACTCACCCCCTTCCAGCCTGTGGATGAGCCTTTTCAGGACGTGTCACACATGTGGAATCACACAGCATGTGGCCTTCTGTGGCTGGTTCCCTTCCTGAACATCGTGGGCTCGGGCTCCATCCACGTTCATATTTTATGGCCAAATAATATTGCATTGTTTGGATGGATCACATTTTGTTTATTCACTCATCAGTTGATGGATGTCTGGGATATTTTCACCTTTTGGTTTTAGAATGCTATACAAGTTTTTATATGGGTGTATGTTTTCATTTCTCTTGGGTGATACCTAGGCATGGAATTTCTGGGTCATATGGGGATTCTGTGTTTAACCTTTTGAGGAGCTGCCACGGTGCTTTCTGCAGCGACGGCCCCACTTCCCTTCCCACCAGCGTGTGTGAGGGTCCCCATCCCCCCGCATCTTCAGCAACACTTGTTACCGTCTTTATTATCACTATCGCCATCGTGGTGGTTGGGAAATGATAACTCACTGTGGTTTTGGTTCCCAAAGCCTCGTGTTCTCAGAGGCTGCTGGGGTCTCTGCGGCATCCATGATGCTTTGAAGGGGGCCTAGTCTCAGCCCAGCTCTGCCTTGGTTTGGGGACATAGACTTGGATGGAACCCCGGTTCCAGCTCTCACCAGCTGTGTGACCCTGGGCAAGTCCCAGCTGCCTCGTCTCCTGGACGAGAATGACCTCATGGGGCTAAGGGCAGAGGATTCAGCCACTCAGTGCAGCCTGGCCCAGCCCTGGGGGATTCTGGACCCGCCAGACTGGACTCTGGTTGCTTAGCAATGGGAAGGTGATCCATTTCCATGGCAGCCAAGGGCTTGGATTCCTGTTCTGGGGCAGTGGCCAGGGGGAAATACTCTGCTTGATTCTGCGTAACCTGGGCACACCCCACCCTCCAGGCCTCCAGCCCAGAGTTGCTGCAAAGCCTTGAGCTATGGACACCCCTCCCCAGGGGTTTGGAAACTGAAAGTGGAAAGCACTTTTCTTCTGGCCAGCAGCCAGGAACTGACCCTTGGCCCAGGGGGAGGCAAGTCCCGAGGGTGCCGGTGTGTCCCTCCCTCACGCAGCGGGGCAGACACATTTCTAGGAGTTTGCTGGGCTGGCATTGGAGCGTGGCCAGGACTCCTGCCGGCGCTAAAACCCAGCCCTCAGAACACGACAGATCAGACAGGCACCCACGGGGCGGTTGGAGACATTTGGAAAAGACATTGCACAAGATTCCTCGCACACACAGAACTGCCCAGGGGAGAACGGGCCTTCCTTTCAAACACAGGGAGGGCCTTTTCAGAAAGTGACCGTGCCCGGGGTCACAGAGGCAGTTGTAAGGAATGATACGAAGTTTATATCTTATGCCCTGTGTTCTTGGCCCCCTTCTCCCCCAAATTTGAAAACACTCTTCTCGGTGAACCTTGGCTTCAAGAGACAGTCCATCAACGTGGAACTTACAAACTACTCAGACGTGAAAGAGAATGCCACCACTGGGTCCAGGGATGCAGCAGAGCAGGGCTGAGCAGAGCGGGGCTGAGCAGAGCAGGGCTGAGACGAGCCTGCGGTGTGTTTCCTAGAGAACAGGAGATTGAGTGACCCAGCTAAACCACGGGGACCCGAGGAAGGAAGCTGTCACAATCCCCGAAACTCCTCGTGGGAGGGAGACACACTTAGCCCAGGAGACAGAGCAGGGTCCCGCCCTGGCCAGCTGGGTGACCGAGGGCTGGCCACATCCGTTCCCTGAGCTGCACCATCTTCGCAGTGGGAGGAGCAGACCTACTTTGCTGCGTGGCCACGCGGGACCCAGTTGCTGGGAATGTGGAAATGCTGCAAAATGCAGGACCAGAGTCCCTGTTCACTGGATTCCCCGTCTCCCCTGGTTTCTGACCAATGCTCTCGCGCCCGCACACTTTCCTCTGTGCACGGGTTTGTCTGTGTGCACAGATCCCAACAGGGAGCTTTGAGAGTCCGTTGGTTTTTAAATGTGTGATTCAGTTTCTCATTTCCTTTTCGGACTGGAGGGTGGCCCACAGCCTTGCCAGGCCTCCCCTCCTCTGAGAGCCCGCTCACATTCTCTCTCTCTCTGTCTCTCCCACCCCTCCCAGTGGTCCATGCCGTGGACGGTACTGCAGAGAACGGGATCCACCCGCTGAGCTCCTCCGAAGTAGATGAGCTCATCCACAAGGCCGACGAGGTCACGCTGAGCGAGGCAGGGTCCACGGCTGGGACAGCGGAGACGCGGGGGGCGTCCAAGGAGCCCGTGCAGACCACACCCTCCAGGCGGGAGATCACGGGAGTGCAGGCACAGCCGGGAGAGGCCACGTCAGGCCCGCCGGGCATCCAGCCGGGCCAGGAGCCTCCGGTCACCATGATCTTCATGGGTTACCAGAACGTGGAGGACGAGGCCGAGAGCCAGAAGGTGCTGGGTCTGCAGGACACCATCACGGCGGAGCTGGTGGTCATCGAGGACGCGGCAGAGCCCAAGGAGCCCGCCCCGCCCAACGGCAGCGCGGCAGAGCCCCCCACCGCTGCGGGCTCCAGGGAAGAGAACCAGGTGGGGCCCGAGGCCCCCGCCAGCGACCCCCAGGACCTCGACACGAAGAAGCAGCGCTGTAAATGCTGCTCCATCATGTGAGCCGCCCAGCCTCCCAGCCCCCAGCCCCACCCTCCACACCACAGTCCCCCACCAGCCCGGCCCCGGCGCCTGCCCACCCTCCACCTGCAATCACGGGCCCCAGGACATGCGGTTGTCACATGTTCCTTCCGAGTTTTCTTTCATTGGAAAGAGAGGGACAGGGGTCCCCTACCCCGTCACCACCCCCCCGACACCCCCAAACCACTGAGCCGTGCACCTACGCCTGGTAGGAGAGCGACATGGACAGACCCACTTTCCCCAAATGAAGGGCACCCCCCACGTCACGGCAGCTCCACAGAAGCGGCTCTCAGCCACAGTGGTCCTGGCTGGGGTGACCAGGGGCCTCGACGTAGCCCCGGGCCGGCCAGCCAACCCTCTGGGCCTCCTGCCTGTGCCTTCCTGCCACCTCCACTGAGGTCCCTGAGGGGACATCCTGCCGGAGAGGGACCTGGAGAGCCGCGGGTTCCTGGGAGCCTGCTCTGTCCCCCGCTTAGCCCCTGGGAGTGGGGCTTCCCGGCCAAAGCTCTGGCGTCCATAGCTTGGACAGTTGGGGTGAGGCCATGCCTCTCTGGGGAGTCTCGGTTAGAGGTCAGGTTCAAGGTCTTGGAAAGGAGCAAGACCCCTCTAGGCACCCCCAGCCTGACGTGTCCCTCCCTCCATGCCCTCTCTGGGCGTGGCCAGTGGATGATGGAGCCTGGGAAGGGAGAGCCCCCTGGGACACGCCCCCCCACTCGGGAGGGGTCCGTGACCCCTGCACTGTGTCCTGCAGGTCGGGCCCTTAGAGCTGCCCCTTGCACAAGGCAGGGCCCCACGAGCCACTTCTTGTCCTGAGCTCCGACTCCCACTGGGCCCTCCTTCCTCCTGGTGCTAATTTGGGGACCCTGGGGGGCTGCCCAGGACCTGCTTGGACCAGGGTGCTGGGTCCCTCCAACTGTACCCCAGAGATCAGGCCACTGTCAGCTCCACTGGGCTGGGCACATTTCAGGCAGCGGTGGGGCGCACACAGCCCGGGGCAGGGGGCTTCCTCAGCAGGAGACCCCGTTCGCTGCCCCGCCCGACGTGAGCCTGTCCCCCTCTCGCCTCGCCGGGAGGGTTGAGGGGTGAGGGGTTCCCCTCCTGGGGGCAGCCGACACCTGGATGCGCACACACATCTCCCTGGATGCAGCCACACTCGCCCCCAGAGGCACATTTGTGCACATGCTCGCAGACCTGCACCTGTGGGCTGTGGTTGGTGAGGCCCCATCTCGGCCCCTCCCCGAGGGCCTCCCGCCTGGTGCCAAGGGCAGGTGCAGGGCCCACCTCTGGCCGCAGCCTGGACCCCGACTCAGCTCTGCCCCTCAGTGGCAGGGGGAGAGGCCGTCTGAGGTGACCCTGGGCAGTGGCCGTGGGACCCCCTCTTCCTTCTCGAGTCCTCGAGCTGTGAGCCTCCGCTGAAGTGCTCTTGCTGCCCCTCCGCTTTTGATGTGTGTGACAAGGCCCTGACGTTCTCGACTTTCCCAGAGAAGCAAATAAACAGTGTGAACAGCCCCCGCCCTGGAGTCCTTGGCTTTCCCCTGTGTGGAAGGTTGTGGTCAGGCCTGGGGTGGGGCCTGACGAGGGTGGCCCAGTTGTAAAAGGAGGCCCCGGGGAGCTGGCTTCTCCTCCCGCCCACAGCCCTGTGCACCCTCGGGCTCACCCCAGCGCCGGGGGGTGCCGGAACCCCCACCTGTACCAGTGCTCATCTGAGCAGCACCTGGGTAGGTAAGGCCTGGAGGTAAGGGGGCAGCTGGTGGTGGCAGGACTGGCTCTGCTAACTTACCCAGCCCACCCCGCCCAAGGCTGCCCCTCACTGGATTCCCAGCCCCACGGGTCCCCCCCCGCCGCAAGCTCTGCAGAGGAACCAGTCCCCGGGAAACAGGTGGGGGCACGGCGGGGGAGGGCTTACAGTGGTTGCCACCCCCCATTTCTGTCTCACCAGCTGATCTTGGAAGTTCTCTGTCCGCTCTGCGCTTCAGTTTGCCTCTCTATGCCACGGGCTTTATGAACCCTGAGAGGGAGGCCGCCCCCATCTGGGGGCAGGACGGTTGTCCTTGTCTGCACAGTTGTCCCAACGAGCTGGGTGACCCAGTCTCTGCCCTTTTAGGGCCTCAGTTTCCCTATATAAGCAACAGGGTGGACTGCATAAGATGAGGGGACTCCAGTTCAAATCCCAGTCCTCCCATTTGATGAAAGAAGAGACAGAGGGTCAGAGGGTCCCCAGAGCCAGCCACGAGGCAGGCAGGACAGAGCCCCAGAGCAGGGGATGAAAACCCCATTCACTGTGTGTGGGTGTCCCGCTCCTCTCGCCGCCGTAGACTGACCACTGGGTCACTGGCTCCACTCCCCAGAGATGCTGGGCTCCTGCAGTCCTTGGCCAAGAATCAGGCAGGACCCACTGCCCACGTTGAGCCTTGGTGCCCCCATCCGTCAGTGGGGCCTGAGCCTTGCCCATCCGGCTAACGTTTTCAGGCACTTTTGATGTCCTCGTTCGGTCCTTTACGTAGAGGTGGCCTGGGGAATCCTCCCAGCCCTGTAATGTCCCCGTTTCAGAGGAGGGAACAGACTCAGAGAGGCTTAGTGGTGTTTGAACCCGGGCCTGGCGGAACCCCCTGCACCCCCAGAGACCGGCAGGCTGGGCCTGCACCAGAACGGGGCTCTCTGGGGTAATAGTCCCACAGGGTGGGCTGAGCCAGGTGGCATGGGGGTGGGGGGCTGGCTCAGGCCCTGCTGTGTGACTCTGGGCAGTGACACCCCCTCTCTGGGGTGCTGGAGAGCCTGGCAGTAGCGAGAAAGAGGCTTCCCTGAGTTCTGGCGTGGCGCCTGCCCTCTGCCCTGCCCGGGTATCGTCTTTCTCCCTCCTCCTCTGGACTTTGTTTCCCGAGCCCAGGTGGGGCCGGGGAGGAGGGGGTGCACCAGCTTTCCCCAGGCGGGGCCCTGTCCCCTGGCAACCTGTGGGCAGGGCGGCGCCAGGCGTCTCTGTGCCTGTGGACAGAGTCGAAACCAGGCTCAGAGGGTGCTGGGGGCCAGGAGCCAGCAGGTGAGGCCGGGGACGTGGTGTGGGGGGCAGCATGGACACCAAGTTCAGGCAGGGGAGGGGTCCCGTGTCGGGTGGGGCTTGTTTCCGGCATAGGGGTTCATGTGCCCCCCTGTGGGATCCTCGGGGTGCAGGGAGGGGGTCCCGCATTCCCCACACCAGCCCCCTCCAGCTGTGCTCTCAGGGGCTGGGGGACCTCCCTTGCTCTGTTCACCCCTGGCTGTCTCTGAGGTCCTGGGGGTCTCTACCCTTCCTGCCCCACCCCCAGCTGGGGGAGCAGAGCCTCAGTCCCCGAACCTTGCTGGGGCCTCAGTCTCTGCCTTGGGCTTCAGGTCCCCAAACCCAAGAACCTTGAGCCCAGAGCCTCCGATGAGGGGGTCTGATTGGAATTCTCATTGGTTCTGAGAATTCAGGAGGCTTCTGGAGGAACATTCATCAATGCTGGCTGGAAACTCGCTTGCGGAGGCCTTGAGTGGCATTTGACACCCCCATGGGGTCCAGGATCGGGACACACAGCAGTGTGGGTGGGGCAGTCTCAGCCTGGGGGAGGGGCCGGCTGGGAGCCTGCAGGCCTGGGGCAGAGACTCTGTTCAACAGAGTCTGGGGTCTCCAGGGGTTGCGGCTCCGCCCAGCCAGGGTCCCAGGAGGACCGTGCCCCGAGTGACTGGGCCCCCCGAGATGCTCCGTGCCGTCTGACCTTGCCCTGTCTGAGCCTCAGCCCTTCCAAAGGGCCTTTGTTCAAGGGCAGGAGGCCAACTGTGGTGATGAGGAAGCAGGCGTGCGGCACAAGGGGCCATAAACCCCGATGGGGTCTGGTATGGGTATGATGCGGGGTGCGGCCGGGGAGGAACAATGGGCTGGGGAGCTTCCTGGAAGAGGAGGAGACTGGGAACAGAGGCTCAGGCTTCAGGACCTGCCCTTCTGTCCCTGTGTGACCTCGGGTGAGCCCCTTCCCCTCTCTGGGCCTCAGTTCTCTCTGCTCCTGTCACAGGGTCCTGGGAGGAGCAACCACGATGCAGCCGTGGGAAGACCGTCAGGAGGCTTTGTGACTCTTGTTACCACTCACCTGTGCGGAGTCTCTGGGGTCCTCCCTGGGGCTTCACCCCACCCAGGCTTGCTTGCTCCTCCTTGGGCCCCGTGCGGTGCAGTGTCCTCCCAGCTCACACACGGGGAGACTGAGGTGTTGCAAGAGGGGGTGCCTGCCTGAGATCAGTGGTGGATCCAGGGTCTAAATAATAATAATAATATCAGCAACCACCATGGAAGCATTTAGCCGGCACCTACTGTATACTGGGTATGGGGCACGACTGCTCGGCAGGCTCTCAGCGTGTAGCCAAGTGCCGTGGTGGACTCTACCTACGGTCCAGGTGTGGACACTGAGGCTGGAGGGGAGCAGAGGGTTTCCCAAGGACACAAGCCAGTGGGGCCCTGGGGCCTTGAGCCCCAGCCCCAGCCCGAGCCCCGCCCTGCTGGCCTCAGTGAATCACCCAGCAGGAATGGCCCGGCCAGAGGAGGAAGCGGTGTCCCCACCCGCGCCCCACCCGACTGCGAGACTGACACCCTCCAGGCAGGTGGTTCTTTTTCCCGGAGTTGATGCCCCGTGTGGCTTATAGATCCTGCGGGGTGAACGTCCACTTACTCACTCAGCAAACTCCTGCGTCACCTCCTCCCACGCCTGCCCTCCGCAGGGATCTCCAGGGCCTGGGTGCAGACCTGCCCAGCCCTCAGGGTCAGCACCAGGCTCGGGGCTGGACGGGAGGCCCCGAGGGGCAGCCAGGGCTGCGGCAGAAATGAACCTGACCCCCAGGTCCTGGCCACCTGGAATGGGCGGTGTGTGCAGAGACCACGCCCCGTGCAGTCAGTCTTTATTAAGCACGTGCTGTATACCAGACTCTGGGCTGAAGCGGGGAAGGCTCATCTGGGCCACCAGAGGACAGGGACCTGAGCTGATGGCCTCCAGTGGGAGAAGACAAGACTCAAATATGCTTACCCCCCTTTCATAGATGTACCCACCCCTGTGAGTTTCAGGGAGAACACCCCCATGGGGGCTGTGTGGTCACGGGGACAGGGGCTCAGTCCCCATGCCTGGGCTTTATTACCCAGGCTTCCTTGCTTTTTTACTGTTTTTCCAAGTATGGTTTCAATATTTGATACATACAAAAGCCGACGTGATACGTTCTAGTTATAACATCGTTCCCAGGGTGGATTTCACGGTGCTTGATGTCACTTCTTCAGTCCAGGGGGGGCTGCATTTTCCTTTTTTTTTAGAGCTACAGCCTTTACAAGCAAGTTGGCCGGAAGACAGCCAATGTACATAGTAACACTGACAGATCTGGGGGATGGGCACAGGGGGACAAGGGCTGCTTGGAGAGCTGGGAACCGCCAGTCTTCCTTCCTCAGCTGTAGAAAGGGGACGCCTAACTTGGGTCAGGCAGCAGATGAGGTTCAGATAACAGGCTCCAAGGGCGGGGGCAATCTTGGGGGGCTCCCTGGAGGAGGTGTTGTGTGGGCTGCAGGTAAAAAGCCTGTAGAGGAGCAGAAATGAAGGTCCTCCGGGCAGAGGGAATTGTGGGAGGAGGAGGAGGAGGGTTTGGGGTAGGGATGCCTGTGAAGTTTGGGGGTTTGTGCGGAGGCCAGATAGAAGGCCTTGAGAGCTGCAGGTGAGGCTAGGAACCAGGGGGCTATGAGATCAGGTGCGTGACCTTGGGGGATGGGGCTCCTGGAGCTGTGCTCAGCAGAACTCCGGTGCTCGCAGGGGTGCCAGCCCCCCTCCCTCCGGGGCACTGGGTCGGGGTGTGGCCCAGAGGCTCCGTGGCCTTCCTGGCCCCAGGACAAGGTCCAAGGTTTTCCCTAGCCTGTCCTAGCTTTATGGCATGGAGGGAGGGGACCGACTGGGATGGGACAAAGTGTCCCTCTAAGCAGGTTAGGGGAGGGAACCAGGAGCTGGAGTCCCTGCCACCGGACATCAACTGAGCCTGTTTCCCCACGTGACATCTCTTAGTGAGGGGCAGGCCCGCTGATGAAGAAAATCACACCAGGAAAGAGCCACAGAGCGTTCGCCCTGGAAGAGAGGCCGGTGCGCGTGCTCGCGGGGGGGCCGGGGAGGCGGTCTGGGGATGGCTTTGGGTCTGGCCATGGCGAGCTGGGCCGGCGAGGGCAGCAGCAGGAGTGGGGCACCTGCAAACGTCAGGCACTCAGGGGGCAGACTGGCGAGTCAGTACAGGCATAGGATCCAGGTGTGGCTGGATCCAGGAGCTCAAACAAGCCCAGCGGCCGGAACAAGCCCAGCTGGGAGAGGGTCTGCTTTTCCCGGGTAACTGCCAAGTCTCAGATCAGGCTTCTAGGTCCGCGGCAGGTTGGGTCACATGTCCATCCCTGAGCCAATCACAGAGGCCAGAGGGTAGAGTGCTCTGATTGGCAGGGCCGGGTCATTTACCCATCCCTGAGCCAATCACAGAGGCCCTTTGGCCAGGACTTTGCCCTTGTCGGGACTGGAAATTGTGCCGCTCCCCAAGACAGGTGCTGCGTCCTGCTCTAGGACCAGTTGGCCCTTGTTCCCTTTTCCTTCCTCAGCGAGCCCGGAACACCTCCACCCCAGGGGGCCGTGGGGAGCTGAGACCCCAGAACATGGACCGAGTGACCAGATACCCCATCTTCAGCATCCCTCACTCGACTCGCCTGGCTGGCCTGGACCCCGATGGGGACACGAGCTACACGTTTGAGGTGGTGGATGTGGCGCCGGCGGCCAGGGGCTGGGGCCAGGACAAGCCACAGGCGTGGCCGGCCGACCGAGAGGCCCGGCTGAATGCGGCCAGGACTGGGGCGTCCTACAGCCCACGCGCCTTCCCCGGCCGGTCATCCCCGTGGACACTCTCCTCCCGGGAGGGTGACAAGGATGAGGAAGCGAAGACCTGCCGCCTGGACGCCGGGGACACCCAGCCTCGGTGGCCACGGGACCTGGAGAAGGAGCGCTGGGCGGTCATCCAGGGCCAGGCCCTCAGGAAGAACAGCACGGTGGCCACGCTCCATGGCACCCCTGGCCACCCGGACCCCAGGAGCCCCGGCCAACCTCAGCCTGGGCCCCTGGAGGAGTGCGCCGTGGACAGGGAGCAGATCGACTTCCTGGCAGCGAAGCAGCAGTTCCTGAGTCTGGAGCAGGCCAATGAAAGGGGCCCTCTGCACCCTCCGGCTCGGGTGGCCCCTGCCCCTGCCCCACCGGGGCTCAGTCAGGCCCCCAAGGCCTCAAGTGGGCTGCTCCTGCCCAATGGGTGTGATGTCCCGCTGAAGCCCCAGGAGAGGGAGGTGCTCCTTCAAGAGAAGAGGGTCTGTGGCCTTCCGGCTGCATCTGGCGTCCAGGCTGCGGATGACCCCAGCTCCCGGTCCCAAGTGGGGTCCCCAGAGCTCCCCAGGGAGACCCCCATCGAGCGGGAGATCCGGCTGGCCCAGGAGCGGGAAGCGGACCTGCGAGAGCAGAGGGGGCTACAGCGGAAGAACAGCCAGCAGGAGCTGGTGGAGATACCCAGCAGGCCCCTGCTGACCAAGGTGAGCCTGACCGCGGCCCCACGGCGGGACCGAGGGCGCCCGTCACTCTACGTGCAGCGGGACTTGGCGCAGGAGACGCAGCGCGAGGAGGACCACCGGCGGCGGGAGGGCCCCCAGGCCACACCCAGCGGGCTCTCCCCGGCTCCCCAGTCTGGGCTCAGGAGAGCCCTTAGCTCAGACTCCATCCTGGACCTGGCCTCGGACAGGGGTACGGCTTGCCCTGCCCCAGAGGTGAGGAAGGTGGGCCGCATCCCGGCGGATGCCTACCAGCCGTACCTGTGTCCTGGGAGCCCTCGGCTGGACTTCACAGCCTTCCACGTGCACGGCAAGCCCTGTGGTCTCTCTACGGATGAGGCCAAGGCTGCGGGCTCTCCAAGGGCCACAGGGTCTCTGAGGCATCTCTTGGAATCCTCTGGAAACCCCCCAGGCATGAAGCCGGAGTGCTCCAAGCCGCCCCAGGGGCGCCTGCAAGCCCACGGAGGTGTCATTCGGTGGGATTATTTCCACCTGAGCCCCCTGCGGTTCAGGGTCCCAGATGTGCCCCCGCAGGCCGAGGGCCCCCGCGTCCGAGGCTGGGAGGTGGGGGGGACCCTGGCATCGAGGCTGCAAAGGTCCCAGTCGTCAGAGTTGCTGGAGAGGGAGGTGGAGAGCGTCCTGCAGCGCGAGCAGGAGGTGGCCGAGGAGCGGCGGAATGCACTGTTCCCTGAGGTTTTCTCCCCGCCACCTACCGAGGACAATGACGGAAGTGACCAGGACTCCAGGGGCTCCTCTGCGGCCTCAGGTGAGGACGGGCCGGGCAGTGGTGGCTTTGCTCTGGGCTCGGAGGCTGGAGCGGGGTGTGGGGGGGTTCAGGAGTGGCTGAACGTGGGGAGCATCTGGGGGACCCCGTCCACTTCCCCGGTCGACTCTGCGCGCCCGTCTGAGCTTACGCCCTAGATCCTGGACAGAGGTGTCAGCTGTGCCTTGGGTTTTTGCTTTATCAGCGTGGATGCTCAGTCTCTAGGTGCACACGGCTCACAGATGCTGTGTCCTCTCTTGGCCCGAGACTCTGAGTGCCCCAGGTGTTCTGCCTTCCCGGGACCTGGGGACCCTCCCTGATGCCCCTTCCACCCCCACAGGCATCGTGGGCAGCTATTCGGTGCCCAAGTCCCCCTTCTTCAGCCCCATCCACCTGCACTCAGGCCTGGTGTGGACGGCGGAGGCCCCTGCCGAGGCTTCTCCTGAGCAGAGGAAAAAGAGGGAGCAGCGGGTGAGTCTCGAGCCCAGCCTGGCCCCCCCAAGGCCTGGCTGAAGTCTGGCACCCCCTGAGGGACACAGGACAGTTGAGGGAGACTCAGGTGTGACCTGGGTTGACGCCTGCCTCCCTCACTGCCCTGTGGGAAGCTGTGCCTGTCCCCCCTGCACAGGAGTGCAGAGTGGGTACACTGGGTGTCTCCTCACGTCCGGGTTTGCGCTGCGGAGGCCATGTACGCGGGGCCCCCACTTGGGGTCATCCCCCTGAGTCAGTCTGCAGGAGGAGGACAGTGGCCGTGTAGCAGTGGCATCCTTACTCCCCCACTGTGTGCGTGGCCCTCCGACGCACCGGGCCTGTGGGGCCTTAGAGCCGTGTCCTGTCACACCGGCCCAGGGGCAGGTGGCTCGTGAGTTCCCACGCAGGGACCTGAGCCCGGACCTGGCTGCGCAGCCCACATCTCCCCCCGGGGCGGGCTCTCCGCGGCCGGCGGACGGTAAGGACAGCGGCCCTAGCCTCCCGCCTGCCGCTCACAGTTGCAGGCCTGCCGCTTGGGGTGCGGGACGTTGGCAAACCCTCGCCCCTCTCTGACCCTCAGGCTCCCCCGCTGTAAAGTGCGCGGGACACTAGGAACGCACCCCGTGAGCCTTGATGCGGGGCCTGGTGCGGGAGAGCTCAGCGAACACTGACTGTCTTTATTACGACGGCGATGTTTGGGAATGGGGCTTCAGGCCATCACTGAGGGGGGTCACTGGGGGGAGCGCACGGTGCACAGCATTGAGTTTGGGGCGATGGCGGGGCACTTGGGGGGGACCGTGCTGGCCCAGTGGGCTCTGGGGTGTGGCGTGGGCACAGGGCGCGGGGCTGATGTGTGTCCCCTCCCTGCAGTATGCTGGCATCAAGTCCTTAGACCACATCGACTCAGAGGTGAGTGTGCCGCTGGGGACGGGGCCCCAGCCTTCCCGCCCCGCCTGTGCCCTCTGCCTGGGCTGTGGAGCCCCCCGACCCAGCCCGTCCTCTGCGTGCGGACACTTGGATCCTTCGTGGCTGCCTGGGGTGGGTTTCACTGGGACCTGCTCGTGGGTACAGAATGTGAGCGAGCTCTGCGTGCCGCCTCTTTACCAGATAGCGAAGGTTTGGGGCAGATCGGGCCCAGGATAAGGCATTTTTTTCTGGGAGAGGGATTCATCTGAGACGGCCACATCAGTGGATTTGTGGAATACGTTTCTGAGCTGGGTCCAAAGTGCCAGACCCCAGCACTTGACCTGCTGTGGGTCTCGGCGTGAGTTGGCACATTCCTTGGTGCTATTCCCAGAGGTAGAGGGTCTGAAATAGAGGAGGGGAGCGGGCTTGCTTTGCTTCCTGCTCTGGATGCCTCCTACAAACTGGCAGTGGGGAAGTTGTCTGGGGGGTCGGGATCCCGATGGGACGCGGTGCCTCCTCTTACAGGTCCTGGAAGCCACGCGGGTGACCCACCACAAGAATGCCATGGCGAGGCGCTGGGAAGCTGGTATCTACACCAGTGTGAGCCAGGACTGAGCCGGGGGACGGGGCACTCTTGCCCCTGCCCTGCCCCGTCGGAGCTGCTGAGACCATCCCGGGCCCCCCTGCCCCTCAGGGCACAAGTGCCTGTGGAAACGCAGCTCCGGGCAACCATGGATCATGTGCTGCCAATCCTGAGAGTGGACGGGTTTTCAGGTGGGAGGGTTTTCTTTGCTGTTCTTATCTTCCTGGGGAAATTGTTCTGCTTTCTGTGTCCAAAGCTGGGGATGAATCGGGCTTCTGTCGACTCGACTCTGCTTCTGAGGCTTTGCCGAACACCCTCGGGTCCAGAAAGGGAGGAGACCGGCTCCCCCCACTGCAGGGGTGACTGTGCCCGCTAGTCCGAGGGTGGAGGGGCTGCTTAGGACGGAGGCACGGGCCCTGGCCCTTGAGGAGCCGCAGGTCTGAGGGGGAGCACCCAATTTCAGGGTCTCTGTGCCACCCACCCCGGAGCCCCACCCCCGTGGCACGCCCAGCAAATCTTGGGCATCTGGGGCCCCATGGGGAAGGCCCCACACCTGGTGGCGCAAACGGCCTGATTTACGGGCTGAAAGGGGCCGTCTGCTCCAGCCCCAAACTGCTGGACTGTGCCCACCGTGAAATAACGCTGCCGTGGCCAGCCGACCTGTCCCGTCCGCCCCAGCCCGGCCGCCAGGTCCACCCCAGCCGCCTTGCTTGTCGAGTGGCTGAGGCCACCAGGCCCCTGCGCCGCCCACCCCTCAGCATCAGCCACGGCAATCACGTGCCGCACGCGTGACCCTCCTGGTGGAGGGAGGGTGGGGGGCGTCACTTCGGTTCTGTGTGTGTGCAGGGCTCACTCCCGGGAGACGTGTTATTCTGGGCAAGGCTGTGGGTGCTGGACCCCAACCCTAGCTGTGCCACCGCCCTCTGGGGAGCCTCGGGGCTCCCCAGAGCGCCCGTGCCTTGGTTTCCCCTCCACACACAGGGACAGCACTGGGACCCGCCTCCCGCCGGTGAGACGCGCTCTAACTCAGCACCTCAGCCTCCAGGCCCCTCCCACCACCCCCCTCCGCAGCTGCTGCAGGGAAAACCGAGGCAGCTATTTCAAGAAACCCGTCCTGGAGACTGCCCACGCGGGCTGGGGGGCGGGCGAGGGCCTGAAATAGCTGGGTGGGGGCAGGACTGTGGGGCCCCTGAGGGCAGGGCTGGTGCAGGGGGGCTGCCTCAGGGCAGAACACACAGGCCGAGGGAGGGGCAGGGCCCCAGTCTGAGGGGGGAGGCAAGGTCTGTGTCCACTGGGAAGCCCCAGTCTGAGGGGGGAGACAAGGTCTGTGTCCACTGGGAAGCCCCAGTCTGAGGGGGGAGGCAAGGTCTGTGTCCGTGGGGAAGCTCCAGTCTGAGGGGGGAGACAAGGTCTGTGTCCCTGGGGAAGTACCAGTCTGAGGGGGGAGGCAAGGTCTGTGTCCATGGGGAAGCTCCAATCTGAAGAGGGAGGCAAGGTCTGTGTCCACGGGGAAGCCCCAGTCTGAGGGGGGAGGCAAGGTCTATGTCCACGGGGAAGTCCCAGTCTGAGGGGGGAGGCAAGGTCTGTGTCCCTCGGGAAGCCCCAGTCTGAGGGGGGAGGCAAAGGTCTGTGTCCACGGGGAGAGCTTGGGCCTTGCGGAGTGCCCCTCACTGGCCAAATTCAGCTTCCTCTGAGATTCCTACAATTCTGTCCTGGTTCCAAGAACCAGATGTGCGCCCCCCCACCCTCAGGAAGGCAGTTTCAGGGCCTCAAACACAGCCCTGCGATGAATCTCATGGGCTCCCCCACCATCTCCTGCCATGTCAGCCCACTGGTGCCAATAAAGCCTGTCCATCCGTCCCCCGGCCCAGGACGTGCGAGCCTCCCGCAGCCACTGTGACAGACCACCGCTCACTGACTCTCTGACAATCTGGGCTCGGAAGTCCTAAAACCCCAGAGCGGGCAGGGCTGGTCCCCCCGGGGCCCCCAGGAGACCCAGCTCCGGCCTTTTCCTGGCCCGCGGCCCCCCCCTCCATCCTCACCGCCAGCAGCGCGGGGTCTGCCCATCTCTGGGACTCCCACCCTCTGCCTCCCTCTCGTGAGGACGCCGGGAACCTGGGGTCACCCCCTCCTCGGGGGCCCTGACAAGGTCCCCTCTGCTGCGTGAGGGGACACATCCAGGGACAAGGATGGGGAGTCTCTGGGGCCATTACTGCGCCCACCACACAGTCTCCTTGTCCGCCCTCTTCAGTTAACCTTCCCTTGCCTCTGCTCAGGGCTGCCTGGGACTGAGGTCACGTACAAGGCACCCAGCTGAGGTGCAAAAGTCGGGGCTCCCCTGTGGCCCCTTCTGTCACCCCCCGGCCCTGCCACGCTCTCTACACACAGGCCATGTCCCCGAGGGGCACGTTCATGAGTCATCTAGGTTGGAAGACATCTCCCCCGTTGTCCCAGCATTGAGACCATCTCATGGTGGGACCGGCTCTTGTGGACAGTAGACTGTCCTTGGAGCCCAGAATGCCCCCAGCACCGTGGCCTGCGAAGGTTCCCCCAAATACAGAGCGACTGAAGGGCAGTGATGTCCTCCCCCAACGTTGTCTGTCTTGGTCTTCCCACGTACTCTTCTCTGTCCTTGAGCCCTGCTCTGTTCGGTGGGTGACATAGCAGTCCACAGAACCAGGAGGCAGCTTCCCCAGCTTGAATCTGAAAAGGGGCCTTATGGTCTGGCCCCGCTGCCCTGGGGGGGAAGGGGCCGGCAGGTCACATCCACAGGGCTGCCCGACCCTGTCATCCAGACCGAGGCCTGGCCAGCCCCCCTGCAACCTGCCCAGCTCCACCGTGTGCCCGGTCTGTCCACAGAGGGGCTCAGTCGGGGCGTGGGAGCCACTGGGGCAGAGGGGCCGAGCCATTTGAGGCGCTGCGTCGGTTCTAGCCGCTGGGGTGCCTGCGGGCTGCCCGACCCTGGGGGGTGCCTGAGCAGGACAGACACAGCCTGCTCCCCCAGCCAGGAGCCAGGAACAGTGTTTCCTGCACCCCGGGGCCACCAGGTGGAGGGAAGACATGCGTGTCCCATGGGTGCATGATGGCCACGTCCCCTCCCACCTGCCCCCTGCCAGGGTGACCAGGGCCACCTGTGGGGGTGCCCGAATGTGGACGGGGGAGCAGACAGCCCCGTGGCAGGGGCACAAGGCAGTCCTTTGTGTGTCTGGCCTGATTGACCTTTACACGACCAACAAGTTCCTCGAAAAATTAAACATAGAACAACCATGTGACCCAGTGAATCCATGTCTGGGTCTGTCCCAGAGAGAGAACTGGAATCAGGGACTCGGAGAGACACTTGCACCCCTGTGCTCACAGCAGCCTAAAGAGAGAAGCCCCCCAGTGTCCACCCACAGATGCAGGGTACACACGGCGCGGTCCATCCCACGGGGGAACACGCTCCAGCCTCAGGAAGGAAGGGACCCCGACACCTGCCACGATGTGGAGGGACCCCGAGGACACTGGGCTCAGTGACAGGAGCCAGACCCAGAAGGACACATCCCGCAGGAGGACCCCACTCCCAGGAGGTCCCCAGAGGAGTCCCGTCCACACAGACAGAGGAGAGGGTGGGAGCCGGGGCTGAGGCAGGGGGTGGGGACAGAGTCTCCGTGTGGGGAGATGGAACGTTCTGGAGACGGCGGGTGGGGGTGGCTGCAGGACCGTGTGAGTGGGCTTCATGCCGCGGAGCTGTGCGCTTAGAGACGGTTATGATGGTAAATTTTGTATTATGTGTGTTTTACCAAGATGTTTAAAAACCGAAAGAGAAAGTATTCACTCTCTTGAAAGCATACGAAGGCCCCTGGGAACCACCCAGAGGAGGTTATGATTTGCCAGCTTAAAAAAAATTAGAAGTTCCTTAAAACGTGCAGTGTCCTCTGAGATTTTTGATCTCGCCGGTAGGGGTGAGGCCTGCAGCCTGACGGGTGGGCTGTGCCCTCAGGACGGGGCGGAAGTCTTGTCCTCCTGCCAGGCCTCCACCTCCAAAAGGTCCGCGCTGAGGAGCCTTAGGAGGATCTCAGAGCTCGGAGGCCTGGGAAGAGGAGTGACCGCAGAGCGGGTTGGGGGTGGGGGGGGAGGCGGGAGTGGGGCTGACCCCTGTGCGCGCACCTGCACCTCGGAGACCCCGCGTCGGCGGGTCCCTGGCGCCCCGCATTCTTCCGCGCAAGCGGACGGACGTTCTTTCCCGTGTATCTCGGTCCAGGAAGGGACTCTCCCGAGTCCGTGCACCGCGCCCTGGGTCCCGCTGGGCTCCCCGTGCAGCCGTGGCCAGCCCTGGGGATGGGCGCCCCCTCACACATGCGGAGGCGGGGCTGCCGTTTGCTGGGGTGGCGGCTGGGGTAAGCTAAAATTCAGGCTACTCAGTTAAATTTGAATTTCAGGCCAACAATGACTGACTTCTTTAAGTACGCCCCATGCAATATTCGGGGCCTACTTACGCTTTAAAAAATCCGCTCATCATTTACCCGAAGTTCAAACTTACTGCGTGCCCTGTACTTTTATTTGCTAAATCTGGCCACCTCCTCCTTCCCCTGAGGACCCTGCAGGAGTCCTGGGAGCAGCAGGAGGGGGTGTCCCCGGGGTGCAAGCTCAGGCCACACTTGCTGGGGCCCCTGCCTGCCCCCAGACTCAGCACCGAGGGGGACGGCGGAGACCAGAGACGGCAGGCCCCCGGCCCCAGGGGTCTGGAGGGGTCTGGAACGGCACCGCAGGGAGCTGGGGGCGGGGGGGTTGGGGTAGGAAGGGGCTCGTCTGGAAATTCAGTTGCCCACAGTTAGGATGTGCTATGCGTAACTTAAAAACCAAACGCTGATTATTACAGGAAAGGGCCCTTTGGCAAATTGACCATGTTAGCTAAGTAGTAACAAATTTGCACACACTTAGAGGCTTAAACTTGACACACGTATGTTTCTCAGGACGTCTGGGGTCGGTGGTCCAGCACAGCGCATCTGGGCCCCGGCTCAGGGGCCCACAAGGCTGTGATCGGGTGGAAGGACAGGCTTCCAAGCCCCTTCGGGTGTTGGTAGAATTATGTTCTTGCTCTTGTGGGTCCGGGATCTCTGTTTTCCGGCTGGCCGTCCCAAGTGCCTGTCTCATGACCAGCAGTTTGCTGTCCCGCCTTTTTAAAGACCCCCTGGATTAGGTCGGGCCCACCAGCATGATCTCCCTTTCGAGAGACTCAGAGTTGACTGATTTGGGGACCTTAATTACATCCAAAAAGCCCCCTACCTTTACCAAATCCCATCCACACTCAAGGAGGTACACCGGGAGTGTCATGAGGTTGGGGCGCAGGGCAGGAATCTGGGGGCCACCTCGGAATCCTGGTCATCTTGAAAACCCAAGGTGGACTTTAGGACGTGGGCTCTGCTGCAGAGATTGGGCTTAAACCTCACCCCCAGGTCCTACTCATTGGGTTAGCGTAAGTCGATCAGCTCTTTTCCCTCTCCGGGACTCAGTTTCCCTGTCAGAAAGGGGGGTAGCCCATCACTCCCAGGATTTGTGGGCAGATGCAATGAAGTGAGGAAGACTTCCTCGCCCTTGGGGTCTTAAACCGGCGGCTGGAGGGCTGAGGTCAGAACTCAGACTGCTTTTACTTTGCCATCAGCGTCTTACATTTTTTAAAGACTCTTTCAAAGAATTTGCCCAATTAAAAAATCAGGACACTTTTATTAAAACCTGGAGTTCTCGCTTATTTTGAGAATTCCCTGTTCTCTGGCCAGGACAGACTGGGTTTTAGGGAGCCACACTGGTCCTGG